AAGGTGTCCTTTTAAGTACTGTAAAAAAAAAAAAAAAAGACTATTCAAATCCTTCCAGATTATAAGGTATTTGAACATGTTTTCATTTAAAAATTACACTTTATTTTGATTAAAAAAGATTGATTGGGAAAATAAAAGTTGCAAATATCCTCTAGAAATGGATATATTAGCTGTGTACAACAGTGGTAAAAAAGGAGGCTGGAAGCACGCCTTGCCAATCACTACGACTTCTAGTCACAGTGTGGTGCAATAATACAGTTAATTTGTTGCATTGCCTCCCTACCTCCGCTTCAGAAGGACAGAGATAGAGGAGAGAGAAGCTTTGAGCCTCGAAAGAGAGAAGAAGGGCAATTGGAGGTCAAATCCATCCACATCCCGTGCAGTTAGTCGTGGAATTGGCTTTAAATGAAAGACACACACACACACACACACACACACACACACACACACACACACACACACACACTGTAAATGTTTTGTGCCCACCTACACACAAACACACATACAGGAGAGTTAGTGCACAGCCTCACATACAGTACAAAACCAAAGCACACATACAGAGCGGATTGGGGCCAGGGAAGGATGGGGTGGGCGAGTAAAGTTCAGAAAGAGGTTCAGACAGGCAGTGTGTGTGTGTGGAGAGAGCGTTGATTGAATTGGTTATATAACTTTTTCCTCATGGACATCCTTAGAAATCTGAATATGAGGGAGCCATATGTTGGGTTATTATGTTTATGACGGTGTTGTAACATCCACATATGGCAACACCTGGACAGCCTCAGCAAAAGACCCACTTAACTAAATACTAAAATCCAGTATTTTAGATGAAAAGATTAAAACCTTCAGTGTTTATCCACCTCATCATGAAGCGGCAATGTAATTTACATTGTGTGTTATATGTTTGTGTGCAGTGCTATAGCTATAAATCTCATCCATCCACTTCAACTAATGTGTAGGGGGAAAAATTAAGACGGGGAACAAATGACAGGTGTGAGAAAATAGAGAAACATTGGGGAAGAAAGAAAAGACTGCTGGCAGGTGATGATAAAAAAAAAAGAAAGAAGGGAGAGAAATGCTTGTAGTATTTCTGATTAAAATTCTGCATTCCCCTGTGAATGATCAAATTCCTGCTTTGATCCGATTTAGAAACGAGCGGCTGTTTATGGGCGTTTTTCTTGGAATAAGAGATTGAGGTTGCAGAGCACATGAGCGGGACAGATGAGTGCTCCATACTTTACCCTTCATTTTGGGGATTTCCTCATTGTTATTATGATTATCAGAGAGAAAGGGTTTAAAAAGCGGGCAGAAAGAGTGCGTACTAAGTGCCAGCATTGAAACAAACTATAAAACGTTATATAACATAAGCACTTTAACACAATTATTGTGTGAACTCCAGTCACGACTTGGGCAGGAGTCAGAAAATTGATGACTTTAGACTCAACTTGACAAAATCAAGGAAGACTTGCCATGATAGTATATGTATGTGACAATAATAATTGTGTGTATAATAACAGTAGAAGTATAACTAATAATATCAGCAGCAGTAGAAGACATTAGGCAGGACCATGACAGCAGCGCAACCACGACACGCGATCCAGACACAGCTGTAATACGATGGAACCTGTGAGACAGTGGGGCACAAAGGCTCCGGAGAAGAAGTGATGATTTTTGAAAATTAAATGTTATTGTTCTGTTGTTAAAATGCCATCATAGTTGATGAAGAGCACATTATGACTTGTTCCTAAACTTAGAGTTTAAGACGCATTTGTGACTTGCAAAACAATCAGTATGTTTACATGAGGTGAGGTGAGGTAAAACTTTAATCAGGACAAAAATTTAGGATACAGACAGTAGTCATGACTACAACAAAACAGACAGTACAATACATAACACACAGAGTCCAGTCTCACAGACTGTCATGGGTGAATCATGGATAGGGATGGGTACCTTTCACATTTGAATTGATACGGTACTGATACCCGGTACCTGAAAATCGATACCTGTACGCAACGGTACCTGTTTTCGGTACTTATTTTGCATGTATGTGTGGAAATAAAGGATATTTCTTTTAGAATTTTTTTTTTTTTGTCTAAACTAACTAACTTTATTTCTCAATATCAAACAGGATAAAACAACATCTAACACTGTTTGTAACATAATATCGAAAGGTAGCCTATATAATTGACTATGCAGCAGTTCTTTTTATTGCAAAAAATAAACCCACTCCTACTACCTCCTATTCCTCCTCTTTCCCCTCTGGGGAAAAATGTGTTTGGGGGAGTGTAACATTAAAGTTAGAGAATACGAGGAACCGAGCTGATAATGATAACTAAGGCAAGTAAAAATGCGAAGCTAACGTTAGAATGCCCAGAACAAAGCCCAATCATCCTAAACACTAAGCTTATTAATTACCTGGAACCGATGTAGCTGATGCCCCGCTTAATCACCGTCGTCATCATCGAATGTTAATCCCACTTCCTCTGCCCCGCTGCTGGCTGCAGATGACAACGAGCCGCTAGCTGCAGGTGTGCTAATGCTGGGAGAAGTAGCCTTAACTTTCAGGCTATCAAATACTGTGCAGTCATCAGCCTTTAAAAACACCTTGTGCTTGACCAGGTGCTTCCTCAGGTTTGAGGTATTTCCATAGCTGGCCTTGCATTTTGCGTCGCAAATATTGCAGCGCGCGTAGTCTGCATCAAACTTTGAGATATGGAGCCACACCTTCAACCTCTTTCTCTCAGCCATGCTGCTTTGTTGATAGCTGCCACTGATGTGATCACGCTCTCGTGCGTACAATGCTGCGTTCACGATAGGCAGTGAAAACGTCACTCCTCCACTCTCGAAGTCCCTAGGATGCGTTCAGGTACTGAAATGTGGTACCGTTTGATTTTATGTGAATCGATACTCGGGATTACCGGCTGAATTCGGTCGGTACCAATAAAAGTACCGAACTCGGTACCCATCCCTAATCATGGACATTAGTGGTCACTGCTGGTTAAGATAAGTGATAGCAAACGGGACAAAGGACAATCTGTAACACTTAGTGCTACATTTAGGGAGGCAAAACCTCCACCCTGATGGAAGCATGTGAAACTCAACATGGAGATTATGTTGCGAGTCTGAGACAATAGACCGAGCTTTAGAGGTGACCCTCTCTTCATAAAGATGCTGTAGATTGTTAAACGTAACACCAGTGATCTTACAGAACAACTTGACCACTCTTTCCAACTTGTTTTTGATTTTAAGGCTCAGATTACCAAACCACCAGACCATGTTGTAAGAAAGAACGGACTCAATAAAAGCAGTTTCATTATTGTCCTATTTACATCGAAACTCCTCAGCTTCCTCAAAAAGAATAGACGTTGGTTTGCCTTCTTACAGATGCTGTGAGTGTTCACATCAAAATTCAACTTGACATCTAAGACAGTGCCCAAATACTTATCCTGCTGCACTGCTGCCACCGGCACCCCCGATCACACGAGGAGCAGGAAGAAAGGGCTTCCTTCGAAAATCAATAAATGTCTCATTGGTCTTAGACACATTAATGTGGAGGGCAGTTAAAAAGTTCATCCGGTACTGGGCCATGATTGTGCTCTGATCCATGAAGAACGCTTACGTCCGCGTACTTAAGATCAAATCTTGATGTGGGATTACTTTCATCTGTGTATAATATATATACACGAAAACGAAACGAAATAAAAGAGGAGAAAGAACACACCCCTGAGGGGATCCAGTAGATGCACAGTCAAGCTAAAACCGTAGTTCAACTTGACCAGGCCATGTATTTGGACGACTGTCCTTGTCCAAGTATACAAGCACTGGAGGAGAATTGATTTGTTGATGGAAGTGTGTCCAGTTCCACTATGATAGGTGGCAATATGCCCTTTCAGCTTGTTAGTATCGGACCTTTTTTACGGTTGACCTATTACACAGACCAAACAATCGACAAACAAGTTAGCTATGAGTAGCTAGCGGCAAACTGGTACCATGGTGGACAACTTGACAGTGCTGTACATTTCATCCGTCCAAAACTGCCCAGCCCTGGATGTAGATTTTGCCATTTTGTTACCAGCTTCTGCTTCTGTTACGTATTTAACGCTATTCGACTTCTGGGTCAAAGCCCGGGGAGGAAACTGAGGAGGATGCGTAGAGTACCTAGGTCAGTTTGGGTCCAATTGACTGTATACATGCAGGAGGAATTCGACTCCCAATCGCATTATCAGAGTGTGTTAGACTTTGAGAAATTCAATTTAGTACGATTTCAGTCGGACTAACCTGTTTACATGTATTCAGACTACCACAATAAATCAGTTTTCTCTAATGTTATTTAAACGTAGTGACTGATTTGGTCCCACCATTGTGATGTCCTTTGCACTGATGTTTTTAATAATGAGCCTCTTCCCGCTAAAAATCACATCAGTATCTTACTGTTTAAGAGCTAACATCAGTTGGATGGATATTTGCTATACCGTATGTTGCAGTGGTTTGTTCTAAGCAGATACAGCAGAGCTTATAGGTGGTGCCATCTGAAATTTTAGCTTCAATCATTATTTTCCCAGATGGCAAATATGAGAAGAAGGCGATATAAGACAAATGTTTTCCCTCATGGTTTGAGCACTACCACCAAGATGGTTCATGCTTTATGTGCAGTTACACCTGCGGAATCACCAGCTGTTCTAACTGTGCGCTCCTTGTGATGGTAAAATGCTTAAAAACTCCCAAATGACACAGCTTTGTATGACATAAAAGCATTTCATATTGGCCATCAAGAATAGAGACTCTGTCAGAATTGAGCACTTGTTCTTTTCCATTTTATCTCTACTAGGCACGCTGGTGTTGTCTATGTTTCGAAATGCCAAGTTGACTTGGCACCAAATTTTAGCAGGAAAACTGTGCATGAACTCATTTTGCAGCTCAGGCTGTAAGCTCCAGTGTCTTTGCTTTGAATGTGGTTCATTATTTTGCCCTTAAAGACTGTTGACTGACTGTGTTCTGTCCAGGGTGATAAGGACTTCACCCCTGCAGCCGCCCAGGTGGCTCATCAGAAGCCCCAGCCTTGTGTCCCCAAGCCTCCCACCAACCAGCACATCAAACATCACATCCAGCAGCCACGCAAGTGAACTAGGCAGCAGGCTACGAAAGGCGACGCTAACTCCACCAGCCGGCCTTCCCAATGGAACACATAGGATGAAGACGTTTCCCCACCAGGCACAGATCTCCTCAAAATAATCAGAGTAGTTTTTCATAGCTTGTTGCATTATATTTATCAGCAGCAGATACCCTAATGCAAAGACAGCCATTGTAGAAGTCCCGCTCTCTACACCGCCGCTGCTTTAATGCGGCACTATTACTTCTGCACTTTTGTATCTTCTCCTTAAGAGGGATTATTTTGACAATTGTATAGTCTTAAGTGGTATAAATGAGTGGACGGGCTTCTAAAATGGCTGTCATTCCAGGATTAAACAATAAAGGAGTCATCTCAGATCTGAGTCTGGTGGGGGGAACTCTCACCCCCAGCAATGTGCCGACCAATCACAGCAACCAGCCAATCACAGCAACCTATCAATCAGGCCAACTAACCAACCAATCACCTCGCAGTGATGAGCCTCAGCTCCAGCCTTCTACCTACGATCTTCACAGACCAAAAGAACCAATCGACAAATCATGAGGTGGACGCCACTTTTACATCTTCACCACAAACCAAAAAGAAACCCAGAGAGCAGCTTCTAAATTGCGAAAGTCAATTTGGTGTGTGTATCACCACTGAGGGTGTTGCCAAATTGCACGGATACAGCATGGACCAGAGGGAGTTAGAGTAGCCAATTAAATGACAGCATTAACCAAATTTTAGCGGCAACTTTGACAAGCATTCCATTCGGCCATTTCAATATTATAGATGCCAAGTAACGAGAACCAATTAGATGCAAAACATGACCCATTTCCCTGTAATTATGGCTGTCATAAATAGCTACTTGATGCATGTCGTTAGTGTTATAACTCAAGATGGCTAGCTAATTAAGCTTTTGGGCCACAGCAATATATATTTAGCTTCTGCACAAGCTTCCTCCTGTGTCAGTGTTCGTACCTTGTATTTATCAGAGAGGAGTCTCACTGATCTACTCTCCATTTATGCCTGTAATAAGGTCTGTCCTTCGCTGGCAAGTTTGAATGCAACCTGAATATGCTTCACAGGAAAATAAAATCTCCCATTAGTGCCTCATTGCTTAGATTTCAGGATTTTCTGTCGCATTTGAGTTGCATGGAATTCAATTTCATCTGCTTCCTGCTGGAGTTAACCAGGCTGAAAATATAGCCGACAGTGTCATGTAAATCTGAAAGATACTGTGAAGCAGCTGTAGGACGCTTTGTGTTATCATTAGCATTAGCCTGAACATCACAATGTTGAACAAAGCATTGCAGAGAAGTGGCTCAGAAACAAAAGTGAGGCTCTTAACTGTCAGATGAAGGCAACAAGGTCATTGCCGTGCAAAAACATTCCATAGAAACAAGTTTGTCAGTGTACAAGGATAGTTCAAGACTGCAGGTATTGCTCGTTGCATATCAGAAAACTGTATCAGCTCCCAAAAATCCAGATCGCCATTTCCCTAGAAATTATACATATTTCGATACACACACAGACACACCACCCTTCTCCTTAAGCACCCATCCCCTTACACTCAAGTGTCAATTGTTGCAACACTAACATTCAGGTTTCCAGGAATGAAAGAAAGAAATTTATCTTGCCAAGAAGGAACGATTTCCTATGTTAATTTAAGTTTGAAAGAGTTTTATTTTTGTTTTTCTCTGTTCTTTTTCTTGAGAAAATTGTTCAAATTGTATAAATCTTTAGTCAATGAGTGGAATTAGGTATTAGGTGCGGTTGTGGTAGGAAATAAAGATATAGACTATCTTGAAAGACGCCTTCTTTGAGCTTGTCTTTATTTGAATGAAATGAAGAAGATGAAAAAGATTTTCTGCTCCGAGACGGTGACTCATGCGGTTCAAATATTTTGTACTCAAGTTCAAAGAAGTTCCACTCGCTGATGGATTGTGTCCTGTACCTCACCAAGAGTATTTGAGCATCCCATGGTGAATTAGCACTCTGCACTGAGGGATTAAGGCTCAGGTGGTGTTTTGAAATGAAACAGAAGCATCTCTCCAAGAGCTGTCCGCTGTTTTTTTTTTTTTTTTTTTTCCGTCAGCTCTCACACACACATGCACAGCGTGCACCAGGTGGTAGTGCATGTAATCCATCTTTACACAAGCATCTGCAACCAGGTGTTCTGTCAGTTTGCGTTAGCCCAATAAACCAGCCAGTGCAGGCTTAGTGTGGTACGAGTCTCTGTCAGCAAGCTGAAACACCCCATTAAAGCAGACAGGATCTCCTTGTCTCTCCATGGTTTTATATAGTTCTCTCATTGTGGCAGACCTCTCATCCCCTGCCATGCTGTATTAGACTGACTGAGAGAACAGAATGAGACTGAGACGCTGCTAAAAATGTTTTATACTGCCCTGCTCAGGAATCTCTGCTTGTATTAGTAGGAATTTCACAATGAAGAAGGTCAATTGGATTTTCTTAAATACCCAGAAAATGAATTGACATTGACATTGAACAAACTTTTGGTCAGTATTTAGCACACAGCGCTGACACTGCAAAGATTCTCTCCTTCATAATTGACCAGCTACAAGTCATGGTACTGCAAAAGTGCTTTGAAATACCTATTACATTAATTAAATTGTCTGTTTAAATTTGCCTTGTAGATAAAAGTCAATTACATATCATATAATAGTTACGTAGGTTTACTTTTATTCATGTTAGTATATCATTAATGAAGTCTGTAGAGGGACAGCTTTGTTTAAAGGGTAACCAATGTTTTTTGGAGCACCTGGATTGCAATTTACGTCCATTAAAAGTGTGTTTTGTGCCAGTGACAGGCTCAGGTTGTAATTGTAGGTGTATGACAATGTTATGGAAAGGATCCCTACAGAGATGGACGTTTTTGTAAAGACTGAGAGTGCTTTCGGACCTGGAGTTTGTGTGCTTTGGCCCGTATCAGGGGCTAATTTTGTTACAAAGTTGTATATTTGCCTAGAGTTGGTTCATGTTCTCACGGCAGCATTTACAAGCGGACCAGATTAAATGCCTTGCGTGAGAAAGCTGCTCTTGATTGGTCAGAATTTCCATGTTGAAGAAGAGTACACTGGCAAGTTAATGAGACACTTTCTAATGTCACAATGTTGGGACAACTACGCAGGTTGATTTTATTGCTCATGTGACTGCAGTTGGTTGGATCGAGGTCAGAACACGTTCTCGCCACAAACGAACAACACCAGAGTTCGTTTGTGACCGGACCAAGACCACCTCTTCAAGAAGGTCTCGGTCCGGTTGTTTTGGTGCGATTGACTCAAACCAAACAGGGCAGGTGAGAAAGCACGCTACAATCCTTTTTGTTTAACCAGTACAGCTCCACAATCGCTATATCCAAACCTACCAGACTCAAGAAGTCGACAGAAACAAAATTAAAGCTGTCTTGGGTCATCTGATCCAACAATCACAAGCTCTGGTTACTTTGAAATTACCACTTACTTCACACAGATGTGAAGATATGCTGGCTCTATACACACTATAATTACTGTCTGGTGGGTTTGGTGATGGCAATTTCGAGGCTGTTTCTGGTTAAACAAAATGGGTGCTCATCTTTAAAAAAACATTCAGCCTCTGTAGGGATCAATTCCATAATGTTGTCAGACACATATAATAACAGTCTGAGCCAGTCGGTGGCAAAAACAAGCACTTATAGTGGATGTAAATATGTGGGGCCAAATGCCCTAATTGGTTACATTGCAGCCTGTTTAGCTGGTGCCAGGGACTCGCTCAATACTGGACCTTTTTCAAAAATTGCTGTTCCCATTTGTCACTTAGACACAAAAACATTGGAAAACAGGGTCTAGGTCGAAAAACCCAGAAGTTGCCCTTTAAGCTGGTGGGCAGGCTCATTGACTGGCTCAGTGGTCTGTTCTGGGCAGTACTGGTGCCTAATAACAACAAACAATTTGCCCATTAGCAAGGCACTGTCCTTTGCGTGGGTATATTTAGGGGAGGCCAGTTCCTGCAGGCAAGAGAGGTTATCTGTCTCTGTCAGACTGACCCCAAAACATGCTTTTTTAGTTTTTCTTCCAACACCAGAAAAACAGTCAAGGTTACAGTTTAAGGCACTTTACCCTCAGAGCCAAGTCCTCATTTAGAGCCACTTTATTAGCCCTGAGTATACACCACCAGCTGTTAGCCATGTAGTCCCCCCGAACATTAAAACTGGCTGCAGCTAGTTGAGACTGGTCATGTCTGTGACACAGGCCTCAGTCGATAGGCACCAGTGGAAGGAGGAGGTATTTTTAGTCATTTAGATCAGGACCTTTTTGGATTTGCTCGTGGTCATTTTGATAAAGCATCAGGGCTAAGATGACAAATGTACGGTGACATTTTGGCTCCAACTCCATCAAAACAAACTACATGCAGTTCCAGCTTCTGTTTTCTGTGGTAGTCCTCAAACAGCACTGACAGGATTTTATGTAAAACTAACCCTTTTTCCTGTCGTGTCCCTGCTGAAAATCAAACAGAAAGTAAGATGCAGTACTTTTTTATCAAGTTTGGTGTTATTGAAACTCCCGAGAGATTTTTTTTCTTTTGAAAGAGAGCCAAGATTTCCTCACTTTTTTATCAGCGAGGGCACCGACACTTGAGGTTCATTTTCAGTTCACAAGTTGTAGATAATTCTGATGCTGATTTAATTGTGAGACATTTTCATTTATTCATACTTTCAGCTTTTCAGAAATGGAATTCATTAAGAAGGACCTACTTTATCCTTGATTGCATCACACTTATCATTTCACAGAATACTAAAGAAAAAAAGAACATTATATAGCTCTCATGCCTTCAGCACTGGGATGATTTACATTTAGGTATTTCTAAATCTGAGGGTATGGAAAAAGTGACCGTAGGGATAATATTTTAGAGCATGTATTGTTTATAGGCGGCATGGTGAAACAGTGGTTAGTATTGTCACCTCACAGCAAGAGGGTTCTTGGTTTGAGCCAGGGGTTGGGGGTTCGATCCTCAGGTCTCAGGTGGGTTTACTCTGGCTTCCTCCTACAATCCAAAGACATGCAGGTTAATTGGTGACTCTAAATTGCCCGTAGGTGTGAATGTTAGTGTGAATGGTTGTCTGTCTCTATGTGTCAGCCTGGTGACCTGTCCAGGGTGTACCCCACCTCTCACCCTATGGCAGCTGGGATAGGCTCCAGCCCCCCAACAGGGTAAGTGGTTACGGAAAATGAATGACTGTATGGTGAATGTATTGTTTATGCAAAAAGCCTCAGATGTGGTTCACAATTTGTCTATTTTCCTGAGAGAAATTAAATATTTAAATCAATTAAAAATGTGTTTTTTTTAACTTGCCTATACCCTATATGTTAAACTATGCACAGATATTGCTTCTTGTTACTTCCTGGTTATGTTACAGCACATGTAGTATGTATTTTTTAATACTTAAGATTTAATTTAATGACAATACAATACTTATATATCAGAATTATATCAGATTATTCAGCAATATACTGATACACTCAATCCAACATGCAGAAATCCCTAAGTGTTGTACCTAAATCAACCAGCAGAGGGCCCCAACTAAGGATTCCCCCCCCCCCCCTGAGTTCACAGGTTTGACAGGAGCCCTCACTCAGTGCTGATCCAGAATCAGGTCACGCTGTCTAAATCCCAGCCCGTAGCATCACAGCATGACATAATAGCTGCCACACTATCAGTGCATGGTGCCCTGTTTATTTGGCCCCCTCTGAATTTCTATGAGGGATGTGGGTCGGTGTGTGGGAGGAGGAGGGCAGGAGGGGAATCGCTGACCAAGCCTGTAGCACTTAATAATCTCAGGTTACAATCTGAGCCAACAGCTGTTTGAGCTACGACCATGACCTAAATATTATCTGATGCATTCAGGGCTAATAGGTTTTGTCTCTCTCGTACACACAAACACACCACACACTCATGCAGTATCCTGTAATATGAGCATGTGGTGTATCCACAGGTAGTCCAAAAACAACAGAAATACTAGCAGGAACCTTTCAGAAATGCACCATACTGACTCACAAAACATTGCAAATTGATGTAGTTTTTATTCATGGTCAGCACACTTAGGCTACAGACACTGTCGGCCATGATACTGCGTCGCCAGCAAAAGCCATTTTCATATGAAAGGTTTTCTTATGTTGATGTTAAATATGTTAATCCCACAACCACTTACAGTTTGCTAAGTGCAGCTTGCTCATCTTTTGTTGTCTTCAAATGACTTCCTCTGGGCAGTATCCAAGCAGATTGCCACTCTGAAGTCAATGAAGTTTATTTGAAGAAATGATTCTGCAGCGCCGTGCCCTTGTAACCCCTTAGCAACTCATCACCATGTATATTAGACACACACTCTTGGATGGCACTTAAGCTGCAATCGCCACGAGGAGTTAGGACCGTGAAATTGTGCTCTGAAAAATCCCGACATTGTTATATCGCTGCTCTCCCCGCGGCCCTGTGTGTTTTAAACTCACGGCTATTTTTCGGCCCATTATTTCCACTGGTCTAATGTTAAAACAGGGAGCTGACCTCATGCTCATGCAGGCTGTTTTTATCAGAGGGTCCATATTTTAGGGATTATCGCTCCAGTTCTGCTTGTAGTGTGACAGTGGCCGAGGCTCAACCTTCTGCAGTTGTTAATAGATTAAACACATGCCCCTAATGCTGAGATGTTTTATGAAAATCAAGAGGGGTGTAATAAAAGTCCCATGGTTTTCTTATTAACTTTCAAACATGACTGAGCAACAGTAAAAAAGAAACACAGTTTGCAGAAGTGTTTATTTGT